ATGCATACTATTGAAAATTTAGTTGATAGCATGCCACAGCGAATTCAGGCTGTGATTGCGGCAAAGGGAGGCCAAACCAAGTATTAAAAGCTTAATATGAATTGTATACCTTAACCAGCTCTAAATAAAATAATATTATAACTTTTACTATTAATGCTAAAGAATTATCAGTTTTATATTTGGTGAAAAAGTGTCCGGAAATTTTTAACCACCCTCTGTAATATAGCAAGAAGACACTAGAAAGGCTACCACTTCTTAGTGAGAACTGCCCTTATCACCCTCTTAGATCTTAGGAATTATTGGTAAGTAAATTTCTTTCTTCTTCTTGAATTGGATGAGCTTTTTTGAGAACGTTACTAATGTTTTTTTTTCTTTTCTTTTTTAGGATTAGCTTTTTTTGGATCTTAAAAATATCTAATAAGTAAAATAATTTTTTCTTAAATTAGATAAGCTTTTTGAAAAATATTACTAATATTCTTTTTTCTTCTCTTTTTTAGAAATGACTTTCTTTAGATTTTAAAAACATCCAATAAGTGAATTAATTTCTTTTTAGATTAGGTGAGTTTATTTGTAAATATTATTAATGTTCTTTTTTCTTCTCTTTTTTAAAACTAGCTTTTTTTAGATCTTGAGAATATCTAATAAGTAAATTAATTTTTTCTTAGATTAGGTAAATTTTTTTAAAAACGTTATTAACGTTTTTTTCTTTTCTTTTTTAAGACTGGCTTTCTTTAAATCTTAAGAATTACTGATAAGTAAATTTTTTCCTTTTTTTGAATTAGGTAAGCTTTTCTGAAAATGTTTACTAACATTCTTTTTTCTTCTCTTTTTTATGACTGGTTTTTTTTGGATCTTGAAAACATTTAATAAGTAAATTCCTTTCTTCTTCTTAAATTGGGTAGGTTTTTTTAAGTACTTACTAATATTTTTTTTCTTTTCTTTTTTAAAACTAACTTTCTTTAGATTTTGAAAACATCTAGTAAGTAAATTAATTTTTTTTTAGATTAGGTAGACTCTTTTGAGAATGTTATTAATGTTTTTTTCTTCTCTTTTTTAGAACTAGTTTTCTTTGGATCTTGGGAACTAACTGGTAAATAAATTAAATTTTTTTCTTAGATTAGTAGACTTCAAAAATGTTTACTAATGTTCTCTTTTTTAGATTTGATTATATAAACATATATAATCATAAAATCACAAAAATAAATATATTATTTAGTTTATTTATTATTAAGTTTTTTTTTATTTATTCTTAATTGTCTTAAGTTTCTTAATTATATTAGTATATATATATTAAAGAAAAAATAAAAGTAAAAAATTTAAAATATATTATTCTTATTAAAGAATATTATTAACTAACTTCTCTATATCAAATTCCTTATCTATTTCATCATCATTATGTTTACTTGCATCTATTCTATTTTCAAAATTAGAATATTTACATATTTAACTACAATAATTAGTTCTTAATTAAACAATGTAGATATATCTAATACTTTTATAATGATATTATCACTTAATATTTCTGATTCATTTAAATTGATAAAATGATTACTTTGTCATCTTTAACTGGTTCTTTATATATTTCACTTAATAATTCTTATATTAATTCTATTATATTATTTTAGATATATTTAATTGATAATATTATAATTCATTTTTAATATTTGTAATATAATATCTATAAATCTTTAATAAAAATTTAATCATAGTAATTGACATTCTTATTCTTCTTTTTTCATATATTTATCCAATTGTTGATCAAATTCTTTTATAATTTATTGCATTAGAAATAATAGAAAAAATTTTTATTGCAAGAGTTTAAAGATGATTATAATTAGAAAAACATGTATTCCACTATTTTAATGGAGTATTATTTTCTTTAATATAAAATGCATTATATAGTGGTTTCTTTAATTTTTAATCTCTTAATTAAGAGACTAATTCAAGATATGATTTTTATTATTTCTAAATCCTTTTTCATAAATAATATTATATTACTTAATTAATTTATTATTTATTGCAACATAATAGAATAATTATGATTATCATCTTTAGTCTAAAATGTAAGCAAAGGACTATTAACTAATATGTAACTTAATAAATTTTGTTTACCCACTTGTTGTTTGAGTTGATGCAATTTTGTTTATTATATTTATCTATTATATATGTGATTATATAGATTTTGCTGATTGATTAAATCATTTATATTATAACTTGTGATTATTTTATTTATGTTATCTAAACTTTTCAATGGTTTCTTTTACCTAGTATAGTTTTTTATATTGATTTAAACTAACATATATAAAGCCTATATAAAAGATAACCATATTTAGACTAATGAAAGATTTGATATTAATACTTATATAACATCCCTTAGTTAATAATATATATATACAAAATAATGTCATATCATTAAGTATTATTTTATAGTATGATTTAAATGTTGTGATATAATTAACTTTTCATATTTATTGAACTTCTTTTTGATTGATATCAAAACAAAAGCTCTCATAACTTAATTTGTAGTCTATCATATACATATTCTACTAAACTGATTGTACTTATCTTCAGAATTCATTAACTTGTACCTGTTTTATCCAAATTAGCTCGAAAGTATCTTTCAATTCTGTATCTAGTGAATTTATTTTTTCTGATGCAGGTAATCATATTTCTTCAAAAAGAACACGATGTCTCCTGACTTAGTAAATCGTATGTTGTTATTTTCTCCTTTAGAAACTTATTAGTGGAATTTCTTAGCATTTATTGAATAAGAACAATTTATATAGTTTAATAAACGGTTTTTATTGCCTTAAGTATAAATTCTCTTAATTTTTATATATTTTAAAATACTTAAATGTAGGATTTCGTTAATCTCGCAAAAAAAGTTTTTATAGAACAAATGCGCCTTAATGACGCAGCATTTTCCAAAATTGAATGTCTTAGATTTCCTATAATTAGGAATTTAATTTTTCGGTACTTTTTTTAAATTGTATTAAATGTAATGCAGTACATTAAAATTTATTCAAAAAAAAATATTATCAATTAACAAAATAAAACAAAATAAATTTATATCCGGAAGAAACGAAGGAACCGGATTTTTATATCCGGATAAAATGTAAATTCGAATCGGAAGAAACCGGATTTAAATTCGAATGTCAAATATCGATTATAAACTCTACTGCAAAGTATCAATATAATAAAACTTTTTATAAGTACATTTTTAAAAATTTACAAAAATAAGTTTAATTATTTTAAAATTAATAAAATTAATTATAATAAAACCTTAATTTATTAAAATAAATCTAATTAATCTAATTATAAACAATAACGAATACTTTATAAAAAATATTGAATTATAAAAAGTATATTATAAAATTTTATTATAATAAAAATAGTTGTTTTATCAAATTTTTAATCGATAAACTTATCAAAAGCAAATAATTCATGATTTATCATTATTTATTAATTTGCAACTGTTTATAACGATAAGATTTTCAAGGGAAAATTTTTTTTACCCCAAATTTATGATTTTTACTTTATGATTTTAGTAAACATCAATTTATCTGGAAATCAATTATTTAATATCTATATTATGTTGATATAATTATAATATAAAGAAAAATTGTGCAATTGGATAAATTTAAGCTAGAAATATATCAATATATTAATTTTTAAAATATTATATAATCTTGTCTCTAAATGAAATGCATTTTATACAACATTTATGTATAAGGGGCGTTATGTTCTTTTATGGTACAAAATTACTAAGCACTTTCTCATTTAAATGAAGGTCATTTGACAAAAACATGATCATTTGAAATTTATATATATTTCGGGTTATATTATAGACTTAATAATTTTGTTCAAAGTTATTCCTTGTATTTTCGTTAAATATTTCTCCCATTATGCTTACATTCGGCTGAAATTGTGATCTTAAATGACTGGATGACTGAGCCAAATGACCTGGTCATTTGCCATTACTGCTTTTGATATAACATGATTATTTGTTTCTTTTTAATATAAAATTACAAATAAAATTAAATATGAACCCAATTTATTAAATATTTTAGTGTTATTATATTTATCTGTCATAAACCGTGCGTCCAATAAATAAATCTACATGATAGATTTCGCCGGAAAATATTACCACCTTTAAGTTTACAAAAAAAAAAAAATTATATAACTTTTAGAAGTAAAAGAAATTGATCATCCGATAATCAGAGTTTTTTTTCTTTTCTTTTTCGACTTTTTTGGCTTAAACCTGCATATGTTTTCTTGTATCAATAAAAAAACTTTTTTTCACCAATCAACAAATGATTCTCAAATTTTTTTTCTTCTTCGAGCTCAATTGGTCGATTTACTCTTTTTTATATTAACCGTTAACCAAGTTTTTAATATTTGTTTAATTAAATCCATAAATTAAATCTTCACAATTTAAATATCTCTTTGTTTTTGCCCAGCCTCAACTTTGTAACATTACCGTGAAAGTTACTTTTAGGGAAATGGCAATCGAAAATGTTCATCCAAGCTATACCTTATTAAGAAATTAATTTGTTTCCTTGCGCGTAACGTATGCGTTACTGATTAAACATTGTACAAAAGCAGGGGATGAATTAAATGAACCAATCATCCACATGATGTATAAATGCTTAATTCATCTTTTACTATATCTAAAAATTGTTCAAGTTACATTTGATAAGCTTCCATGATTATCTGTTAGCAAATAATTCAGGTCAATTGTCTAATGAGATACCAATTACAGTATATAAGCTAATTCGATTGCGATGCATATTATGCATTTATATATATAAAAAAAAATTATCATTCTATATTCATGTTATTCAACATTCAACAATTCTATCCACCCATTCTTTGAAATATTTTCTACATTCCTTTTTTGATTTCAATACTTTCATTATTAAAATATGGGAAATAAAAATTCAAACTTAAGGAGGTCTTCGAGTTCAAACAGTAATAATGACCGGATGGTCAATATAAATATGATAACGGATGAGAGACAGGTGGATAGGTTGCAAGTGCAACACCATCTCTTCCGGACGCTATGGGGGGGAAATTTCTGCTCCCCTATAGCAGAAGAATTAAGAGCCGGTGGATCCTATGTTTTGGACGTGGGGTATACATTATTATTTATTTTATAAAATATTTAAAATTAAAATATTTTCAAAGTTTTAATTAATTTTCTTGCCCATCGTATCAGATGCGGTCCGGGAACATGGATTTGTGATATGGCCACGGACTTCCCTAATTCAAACTTCACAGGTGTCGATATAGTCACCACATTCCCAACAGAAAGGCCCCGAAATGTTACCTTTAAAAATGGTGGCGTAATAACAGGGTTACCGTTTCCTGATAACACATTTGACTTCGTTCATATGAGCTCAAAAGTGCTCTATTTCACGGAAGCAGAGTGGAGGACGAAAATCGTCGTTGAACTCGTAAGAGTTCTCAAGCCCGGAGGTTACTTGGAACTTGAGGATGGAGATGGAGAATGCTATAATATGTCTCCGACATATGACCGCATATCCAAAGCGGGTATTTATTACATCAATTAAAAAAACAAATAAATGAAGTAATGTTAATTATTTAATTTATTTAATTGTCTTTAGTCATAGCCCAATTATATGCTAGGAATATGAACCCTTTCATAGTCCAGCAAATCGAGGAGATAATGGTATCCTCTGGGTTAATAAATATTCGGCATAGGGAAGTTGTCATCCCAATTGGAAACTGGGGTGGAAATTTAGGAGTGTTGATGGTAGATCTAGTTGGAAGTCTTTTTTACGGCCTCCGTGATAAGATAACTAATCAGATGAAAATTCGTCCTAAGGATTTTGACCGAATCCTAGAAACATGCAAAAATGAATTGGACGTTTATAAAACTTATGCCAAAAGTTATCGGTTTTATGCAATGAAAGCATAAATTAGTAACACTAGCCTTCTGACCATACCATCAATACAGTATATGATTAAAATATAATTTAAGTAATTAATAAGAATTAAAAATTTTTTTTTTTGAAAGTACCAAAAAAAATTTTATTTATTCAATTTAAGACATTATTAAATATACCTTTAATTTAAAAGTAAAAATTATAATATATTTTATAATTAAATGTAAAAAGTATTTAAAACATAATTTTAAAATCATAATATTTGCATGTATCAATTAAAATAAAATACCAAGATAATAAAAAGAAATCTATTTAAAATAAATTGGTATTCAAATTTTTAATTATTTATAGAATTTTAATTATTGTAAGAATTTAATATATATCATTTAATAATACAATATATGTATTTTAAATTCTTAATTATTTTTATTATTTTTTTAAAATATATCAATATTTTAACCATTTAAGCTGAATTAATATCATTATATTATAATAGCTTAAATGGTTTAAGATAGATTATGGTTGTGACTTTATAATTTTACCAAGATAAAAAATAAATTAAATATAACTTTATAATCTTATTAAAACAAAAATAATCTGAATAATCTAATTATTTATGATTTAAATATGTTAGTAAAATCTATTTATATTAAAATGATTTAAATTTACTTCTATTTTCTTTAAATATTTTTAATTTTATTATTTTAATAATAGTATTATTTAATTTTGCTTTTTTACTTTTCTGATCACTTTAAATTAGTATAATATCTTTATTATAATAATAGATTTATAGTTTGATTAGATTATTATTATATTATTTGTATTAATACTCATTTAATTTAATTTAATTACCGTTTTATAATTCTTGAATTAATAATTTTTTAATTGCATTCTTATAAGACCTATACTAATATACTATATGATCTTTTTATAATCAAAAAATTAAAGATCAAAAAACTATTTCTTTAAAAATATGTATTTAAATAAAATTTATATATTCTTAAAAATATATTATATTAATAATAAATTAGTATTTAAAATTATAAATAAAATTATATAAAAAAAAAAGTATTCTTAAATATACTATATAATTTTTAATATAAACTTATATTAGATAGTTATATAACTTAAATTAATTAAATACATTTATAATTAAAATTAGAAAATATAAAATTAGTATTATAATAATTAATATAAAAGTAATATAAATACAATACGAATATAATATTAATTTTGTTTAATATATATAAAATTTTTAATGTTGTTTATAATTTTATTTTGTTTAATTTTTTTAATATTGATAAAACTGATTATAAATATATTCATATTTTTAAATTATATATTAAAAGTAAATTTATCAAAAATTTTATATATATTATTTTTAATTCAATTATATATTAAATTTCTATTTTAATTTAATTATTTTAATTAAATTGCTGTCATATATTTTATATTTAAAAGATTTTTACTTTTATAAAATCAGATTTAAATAAATTAAATAAACTATTTATAGATCTCTTTTATTATAATAATAAATATTTATATAAATAATTTAAATATATTATTTATTAATTAATTAAACATTTTTTAAAACTTTTTATATTAAAAATAATATTTAATAACTATTTAATTTTTTTTAATTTCTATAAAGAATATATTAAATATTATAATATTTGTTTATTAAATTTCTAATATTTAATTAATTATTCTATATTTTTGAGTTTTAATATTTTTAGTATCTTATTATTGGATAATTATTTATAATCAGATACTATATTATTAATATGTTTTATAATTGAATAATTATTTTAAATAAAAAAATTTAAAAATTTAAATTATACTACTAATATTAGTAGATGAAACTTGAAGGTTATCTAAATAAAAAAAAGTAAAGTTTAGTAAATTATATTATTAAAAATTTTTGAAATTAAAAAAAAAATAAAATTATATTAAACTTATAAATAGTAAATAAAATTATATTAAAAATTTAGTAATAAATTAGTAAAATAAAGAATTTAAATATTTTACTAATTTAAAATAATTTTAATTAAGCAATCATAAGTTATATTATTTGATTATTAACTGAAAAAAAATAGTTTAAAAAAGGTCATAAAGTATTATTAATATAAGTTTAATAAAATATACCTAAAAAGTTGCTAACTTAAGAATTATAAAAGTAATTAAATTAAACAGTATTTATTAATAACATATTAATTTAAAATGATTAAAATAAAAAATAAGGTATAATTAAATAATACTATTATAATTAATTTATACTAAATATAGAAAGTTAATAAAAAAGAGTAATATATAAAAATAACTAGTAAATTTAAATTATTTTAATATAAATGGATATTATTAATATATTTAAATTATAAATATTAAATTTTGAAAATTTTATTATATCAAGATTATGAAATTATATTTAGATTATTTCTATTATAATAAGATTTTGAAATCATATTTAAATTATTTTATTATGATAAAATTATAAGATATATTTAGATTTTTTTATTATGATAAGATTATAATATCTTAATTTAAACTATTTAAGCTTTTATAATAGAATTATATTATAAAAACTTAAATAACTATTTTAATTTTTTATAATTAATTAATACTTATATTTAAATCTTACAAATTATAATTTGAATGAAATTTAGCTAATATTTATTATTAAATTATTTTAATTACTATTTTTTTAATAAGATGGAAGTTTTGCAATAAAAAGGGTGAACTATCAAAAAAAAATATTTTTTACTTTATAAGTTCAATATTATTTTTTTTAGTAAAATACTTCAGATTTTATATTAACTCAAAAAAATTTTTTTTTTGGTAGTTTCTTCCTTTTTAACTGCAAATTTCTATATTTTAATATAAAGTATATATGACTTATAATTATAAAAATAATATTATTAAATGATATTGTAAATAAATTATTTAACTATTATAAAAATTATTAAGATTAATATTATTTATATTTATAAAAAAAAATTAAATTATATTTTTATAATTATTAATCTATAAATTTTTTTTATTTATAATATATTATTTTTTTTAAATTATTTTAAATGGTTAATTATATCATCAAGTTTTAAATTATTTGACTTATTTTACAATCTTTTGCAAAGTTCAGAAAGATATGATTTAATACAAATAAAACATTCTTTAATACTTAAGTATATTAATCTGGAAATTTATGAGTTATTATTAATTTGTTTAATGTATGCTTAAGCATAGCATATTTTATTTCTTAAACAATGTTATATAATTTACTTACTTAGATATTTAAAACAAATGGGTTGACTCCTTTAGAGAACACCCTTTATAATTAAAGAGAGGGGTGGGGAGTATAATATTAACGAGTCATATAAAATATAGCTCGATGATGATTATTAATTATTATTGTATTTTGAAATTTAAAACCGCATGCAATTTCATAACCAAAGTCGTGTAATTACATGCAACCATATATAAACTTTTTTAATTTATTCGATTGTGAGCTAATTTAAACTTGAGATCTATAAATTAACAGGAGTCGGAAGATTAGTAAAGTCGATTATTTTGCTTATGTAAGGTTCTCGATATTTAGAAGCATTGATCTCATCCGGTAAGTTTGAGATCAATTCATTAGAAACGTCAAATTCATTCTTTATAATTAGTTCTTCTTTACTCAAATTCTCATTAGATTCTTTGAAAATCTCAATCCAAGAATTAATGATCATTAAAATTTCTTCGGCTTCTGGTCTTTTCGTTGGATCAGCATCTAAAAGCCTTTCAACCAATTCAATGTAACATTTTGGAGTTCCTTTGGCGAATCCAGGCCTCAAACCTTTACAAATATCAACTGCTAAATTGTGATCGAATAATCTATCCTCAAACGGAGGTTTTCCGGTTGTAAGTTCAGCCATGATGATTCCGAAACTATAAAGATCAGCTTTTTTCGTGTATGGTTGATTATGTAACAATTCGGGTGCCATATAAGGTAAGACCCCGCATAACAGACGATCATTATCACATGATCCGTTTAACCCCGTATCACTTAAACATACATCATCCTTTTCTTTCAAAATATTGCCAGGATGTAAATCTCTATGTAAAATTAAAATTTTATGCATATCACTAATTGATGATGCTATGCGAGAAAGGAGATTAAGCTTATTATACCATTTAAGGTTCTTATAATTTCTTTTCAAGTATTGTCGTAGACTTCCTTGTTCCGCGTATTGCATGACAATCATGTAATCTTTTGTATTGATGTCCTGAGTGATGCCATATATTTTAATAAAGTGATTTCCATTCTCTTGAGACGTTCTAATAAAATTTAATTTAAACTATATAAAGAAGAGAATTAAAACATTTCGTTACCATCATTCGATATGTAAATTAAGAGCTATTATTTTGATGTTTACCTCTTGCAAAAAATCTGACTTGACATTTTTCGAATTATGCAAATGTTTGAGCGCGATAGTTACGGACGACGACCGTTCATCTTCATTATGATTCATCCATTTGGCTTTATAAATTGTACTAAATCCTCCTTGTCCAATCTGATGAATATCCTCAAATCGATCAAAATCAATCCACTCAAGATAATGTGATGTATTATTATTGGCATTTAATTGAGTAAATACAACAAGGTTATCGATTGCATTATTTCCGCTTTGAATAGAATTTTTTGGAGGAAAAAATTTGTAAAGGTTTGTTTTGTCAGCTTGTTTAAGGAGTGTGTTTAAATCGGTTGAAGTGAGCGTTAAATTTTTATCAATTTTTTCCTCCTTTGAAGATGACATTTTACCTTAATAAAAATGATTTTTTTTTTTTTTTTTTTTTTTTTTTAAAATAAAAAAAAAGGGTTAATTTTTTTTTTTTATAACCGGTTTCCCATTTTAATTGAAGGAAATTCCGGATTTTGTATTTCCTGCAACTTGGTGCACAGATTTCATTTAATAAATTTCTAGTAAAGGTTCATTCATTTATGATAATCTATTGATTTATAACCAATCACCCAGTAAAAAAATTTTTTAAAGTTTCATTGTGGTAATCGAGTTGATTGGTCAGGAAGAATGTCGTTGACGGACAATCATTGTAACAAATATTTTTTCCCTTTTTTTTTTTATTTAATTTTTTTTTTTTTTGATAAATATTTAGATAAATATTATTAAAAATTTTTTTGGCAATGGAATGTCCCAAATTACAAGAATAAATGATTTAATATATTTCATGTTGATGTGCACCAATTATTAATATATATTTTAATTTTTTAATTAACGATAAATAATAATAATTTTAATTCTGCAAAACAAATCTAACATAGTTTAGCATCTATTAAATCTTTGGTATATTTCCACAATTTTTCTGCCAGCTCCCCATCTTGAGCTGCCTCAGATTTCTCTCCAATTTCACCAAACGGTACGAAATATTGATTACGATAATTTTTTTCAATAATTTCGGGGCTTGTAGCAGCGTATAATTGTGTTAAAGCTCCATCATCAGGTGACATAGAAAACCAAAGAGCAATATTTATAACCATTTTCGTGAGAATCCATGAATCATCCCATTTTGATAATTTGGTTTCAACGAACCCTAAAAAGTGGATATTTAATGATTTACAATTGTCTTTTTTTTTTTATAACGGAATTTTTTCTTTTTTTTTTTTAAAAAAAATAATAAAAAAATTATTACATACCCGGATGAATCGAATTAACATAAACTTCCTTGCCTTCAAGTCGCTTCGATAATGATTTTGTAAAAAGGATGTTGGAAAGTTTTGATTTACAGTAACTTTGCCAAAATGAATCAGCTTCTTGATTAATCTTATCGAATTCAATTCCATCAGTATAAATGTGAGCAACGCTTTTATACAAAAGTTCGGTAAAAATTAGAACCTGAAAGAATTTACTTGAGTTTGGACTTTAAACATTTGTTAACTAACCTGCTGACGTTAACGATTCGAGAAGGTGCCGAAGCTTCAATCTTATCAAGAAGAGTCATTGTGAAAAGCTAAATAAAGAAAAATTATGATTATTCTTTTTGAATGAATTTTAACAAGTGAAAAAAAAAAAAAAAACTTACGAAATGTCCAACGTGATTCACTCCAAATATATTCGGGATCCCATCTTCAGTTAATGAACAAGGGCTAAATTTAAATTACTTATCAGAATAAATACAATCATCATAAGTTGTAAATCACAGAGTCAAACTCACTTTATGATTCCAGCATTATTGATACTAAAAGAAATTAATATTAATATCGTTTAAAATTTTATTCATTCACTAAGAAAGTTTATTTAACTTACAGAATGTGTAAAGGTAAATTTTTAGAAAGGAAATTCTCAGCAGATTGTTTTACGGTTTTAAGGTTAGCTAATTCTAAATATAAATATTCTACTTGATTTTTTCCAGTCTCTTTTTTGATTTTTTCTACGGCACCTTCGCCACGTTCTTTATTGCGACTTGCAATAAATACGTGTGCATTTTTACGGGTTAATTCTCTTGCCGTGATGTATCCGAGTCCTGCGTTGCCTCCTGTGACAATGGCAACTTTTCCGGTCAAATCAGGAATGTTTTCGGTAATAAATCGTTTTTTACTAAACATGATCGAAAAATAATTATTTTTTTTTTTTATATTTTTTTTTCCAGCCTTTTTAAAAAGAATTGCATAAAAATTATTTTTTTATATTTTTTTTTTTTTCCAGCCTTTTACAAAGAATTGTATAAATAAGGATGTTTATTAATCCAAAAATTGGTTTCTTTTTTCCTTCCATGATGTTATTTGCCCTCGGGGCTAATAAAGGAATATTTACTAATTTGGGAACTCTATAGCAGACGTGTCGAAATTTGGGGACAATGAATAAACGTATTCTAATGAAACACAAATTTTTTATGCTTGTTTCATGCTTATTTTTGCGCTTAAATCGGATAGCATATATAATGGCAGGTTACAATAAAGGAAAGTATTTGGAAATTCTTTTTTGACGAGTATATGGAGTAACTCAATTCGGTTTGTGCAACATAGAGTTTTATTAAATTTAAAGAATTACCTACATGTTACACGAGGTTACGTTGGTTTGTAAGGAATCACGTGTGAATACATATTTATATGAAATTTATACACATTTATTTAATATACTAAAAAATAATATTTTAAATCTAATATAGTTTCATTTTCTAAATTATATAATCCTTTAATTTGTAATATGATAAATTTGATGACTTAAAATCATATTATTAGATTTAAGAAAAGTTTTCTTTTTTTATTTTCAATCTTGTTTTAAATAATATCTTAAATATATTTAAAAATATATTATTATATATTGTATAATAAAAAATGTATCAATTTTTAAACTAATTAAATACCTATTCATAACAAATACTTTAATCAGATTTATATATATTATAACAATAGAAATATTATCAAATTAAGTATTTTAATAATAACTGTTATTTATATATATATTACAATAGTTTTCAATTTACTGATTTAATTATTATCTTTATTAAGCATTATATTTTAATTAGATTTAAATATGAATTCATATATACTAAAACTGATTAAATCCAATCTTTATTTTATTATCTATATTAAATATTACTTTTTTTCTTTAAAAAAATAAAAGTACATTCATTATACAAAAAAATATTTATTTATAAAAAAATTATACTTGGAAAAATTTATTTTATAAAAAATTAAATTTTTCATTTATATTGCTTATTTCAAATTTGTAATACTTTAGTAAAATCAAATTCAGATAAATTTTTTCTTCTAACTTAAACATTATTAAATAATGTAATATTTTATTATTTAAAGAATTTTGTAAATCAGTTTTTATTAATTTTGCTTTAAAAATCTGCATTCATATTCTACTAATGTAAATAGAATAAAAAATATAATACTCAATAATTTGATAATATTTGAAAATATATCATAATAAAATTTGAATAATCTTGAAATTAATAATACAATTTCTATATTTTAAAATTAGCATATATTATTGCTTTATATATAAATCATTCTTCACAAATATTATTAACTTCAATAATTTGTTTTTTTTTATAAATTCTATTAAAATATTCAATTCTTTTTTATCATATTCTATAATTTTTTCTTTATTATCTGATCAATAGATATAATTCAATATCTTTATAAAATTAAGTAAAGATTTATAAGAAAATTTTTCTTAAATTTCTAATATGATATAAAAAATAAAATATTAACTATTAAATCTATTTTGTAATTTTCATTCTATATTAGTTAATATTTACTAATACTACAATTTTCGCTTAATAATATATTTAATAAAAATTTATTCATATTCTTTCTAAATAGTAATTTTTATTATCATTATAATTCAAATTCTCATTAAATTTTATTAAGAATTAAAAATATCTCATAAGAAATAAAAAAAATGCAAGAAATCTTACAATTACAAATTTCTGTATATAAAGAAATAAATTTTACTTTTGATAATTATTTGTTATTGTAGTTATTATTTTAATAATATATTCATTAAATTTTAATTGAAAGATATAAATTTCATACTGTTTCATCTAAAAAAGTTATCTGATTTTATAAATTTATTTAATCTTTAAAATTGAATGCTTTAGTTTTTTTTGATATTACATAAGATAGATATTTATTCTTTAGAAAAAAACTATAAATTAATTTTATAATATATTCAATATATTTACAAAAAGATATTTGTTTTTCTATTAAATTACACATTAAAACTACAATATATTATAAATAAATACTTATTTCTTTTCTAATTCTTGATGCTACATCTGTTAATTTTTTTAATATAATATTTGCTTCATCTAAAGTAAATAATATAAGTTTATTTAAAAAATAATTTTTTTAATTAATTATAAATTAAATAAAATAATATATTAATAGAATTCATCTTTTTTATCAAATAAACTAATAATCAATTCAAAAATAAATTTTGAATTCTTATTTTTTAGTTTAAGTAATTTTAAAAAATTAATTTTAATATTCTACTTAATATATATAATAAGATAAGATTTATAGAAAATATCTATACTTTCATTAATTATAATACTAAATTATAATAACTTTATCTAATTCTTTTCAAATAGTTTTTTCTATTAAATCTGAAATAGCTGACTATATTTAGCATATAAAAACATAATTTTCATATGTAATTAGATTAAATATTAATAATAATTGTAAATATTTAAGAATTTTACAAAGGTGTATAACCTTAAACAATTTATTCATTTTTTGCTAACTAAAAAATAACTTTTATTAAAGTACTAACATATTGTTAAACTTTATCTATAATGGTATTTGTAATTTTAATAAATTCTACCTTTTCAATTTCATGATTTATTATATCAATATGATTTTTTATTAAAATATGCTTTTTTAAAGAGAAGATTTAAAATTCTTTAAGCCTAAATAATTTTAAATTAATGTAAATTAATAAAATAATTATTAATTTAAATAAATTATTATAAAATATAAATAAAAAATTATCAACTTTTTTTTCAAATTTATTTTGTTTTTTAAGAGCTTAACAAAATGAACAAAATATTAAAATTTTTGATTTATTATAAATTAACCATATGTATAATTCTAACTATTCTTTTTAAAAGTTTTTAATTTTTTTATATAAGCTATACTTTTTTTAAATTTTTTATAGTTTATTTATATATTTTTATGAGGTAATTCAATATAAGTTTTTTTTAAATCTATATTTATATTACTAGTAGATTCTTTATATTAAAATATAATATTAATTTCTATATTTTCTTTAACATTTGTTTTAAATATTATTTAATAGATATTATGCGAAATAAAAATCATAAATTATAATGAAAGATAAAAGAGTATCATAATGATTATTTTATTATAATATTATATACTGATATGCAAAAAAATTTGTTTGACAAAGATTTATTATTTTGAAAAATTTGTTAGATAAAAATTTAGAATACAAAATTTTTTATCAAATTTTCTTCAAAATTTCAGATTTTGTCAAAATTTACAATACTATTTTTAATTTTGAATATAATGTAAAAATTATTAAAAGAGAGAAATTTTATTTTGAAGAAAATTTTATAGAAATTTATTTGGTGGTTAAATATTTAAATGTAATAATCAAATAATAAATTATATAAAGAAGATAATAATTTTTATCTGCTATTTGCTGCTTCATTAAATAATATAAAAATTAATATTATTAAGTTTAATTTAATATATAATTAACTCTTGATATAGCAAACTTTTAATATAACAAATTTTTTAAACAAATATAATAAAAATACTCTTATTATAATGAATTGACCAATCAAATTTCTTAAAATCTTTACTATAGTCTTATAATAAAGTTGAAGTCTAGAATATAAAGTTTTTAATACTATAGTGAATCTTAAAATAACTATTATATTAAGGCAGTCAATTATAAAAAATAATTATATCTAATATACATGAAAATATATAGAAAATATTCTTAAATAGTATTTAGAAAGTATTTTTGTATAGAGCTTTAAATATATTAATTCAAGTCAAATCAATCAAGTTACTTAAACTGAGAAAATTAAATCAGGTCAAACAAAAATCTGACCTGATTTTAATTTTTATTTAACTTGATCTAATCTGATTAAATTATTTAAAAAGAATAATAATAAATCATTCTAATTAAATGATAATAACATTATTTAATAATAATAAAATTATCATTTAAGAATATTGCTTAACCTGAATTTTATTAAGTTAAGTTAATTTATTAATCTGATCTAATATTAATCTAAAAATCTACTGACCTAATCTGAATTTTAAGTCAGATCAGATCAGGTAAACAAGTTAATCTGGTCTGATTCAGAATTCTACTCTTATAATAAATATTAATAATTATCATAATATTCATATTCAATAGCAATCTAATTTTACTAAAACTTCTTAAAATATATATATAATAATAATTTCAAGAATTTATATTTAATTTTAGTAATATTATGTAATAAAATTTTTAACCTAATATTTTTAGTTAATAAATTAATTGCAAAATATATTAATAAGTAATTTATTATGAATCTCAATATTTCTTATAATAAGTATATATAATATAATATAAAAGAATATTCTAATAAAAAATTAATAAATAGATTAATTATATATAATTATAATGATAAGATTGTAAAGAAAAATTAATCATTATATATATGATTTTATCCTATTTACTTTGTTAAAAAAAGTTTAAAAAGTATTAATAATATATTAATATACTCTGAATTATATATGATTAAGAGCTAATGAAAGGTAAAAGTTAAAACTAATTAAGGTTAATTGATTAATTAATCAATTAAGTCAGTTAATCGATTAAAGTATCTTAAAATCAGTTAATTGATTAATCTAACTAATTAATTTAACTGATTAATTAATCGATTAATTTAATTAATTAAAAATGCAGATTATCTTAAAATAGTACTTTAATAAGTTTTTTTAGTTAAATTAATTTTGTAAAAAGAAAAACTAGCTAAATTAATTTTAGTTTTAAAATAAACCCTTATTTTACTAGTCTAAAGTGAAGCAAAGGACTTTCACATATTAATCATATATTACATAAGGTATTC